ACTGGAATGGACCCAGACTCCTGAAGTTCGAGACAATTCTTGTTGTAAATATTGTGTGAATGTGTAGCCTAGTTGGGCAACAATACTTAACTTGAGTAGCCTTGTTGGGCATACTAACTCGAATAGCCTTGTGTGGCATAGCTTATTGTAGTAAGATAACTTTGAAATTGGACAAGTATGTGTACAAATATAAAGGAACTAATTAAGCTTAATTGCCCGTTTGTTTTGCTTTTTGTTCGAATAACACAAAAATAAAGGAACTATTGGAAAACTTTATTTTGAGTGGCTTGAAGTCAATTTTATAACAACATAAGCATTCTTCCATTATTCACAGCCCTAGATTATTACTGGCACTGTGAACAATATCCCTGAATTGGGGTTATCCTTTTGAACTCAGTTTGTTGGTTTGTATTAGCTCATGCAAAATAGAAATTATATTTCATAATTTAGTTGTGGAAGAAAGAGCAATTTGATGGCAACATACAACAGTTATATTGAATACTTCAATTGGCCATATGCTGCCCAGGGCATGGAACAACTGGGTTTGAAGCATGAAAGTGGAAAGAAATGTGTTTTAGAAATATTGGGTATATATAGACTGAAAAGGGGCTGTTTTGTTTTTGATACCCATAAAAGAACCATAAAAGGTTCTTTTCTCTTGAAAAAGAACCTTTGGGACAACCATTACCTGGATCATTAAGACTCTTCGTAGATATCTTCTCTAGTGGTCAATACTTGACATGACCCAAACTTTCCCAGCAGAATTTCACAAAGGGAGAGACGTGGCTTCCAAGTGAGATAAAAGGGAGATATAAAATACCTTTAATATAGACCCTCCTTTGAGAATCAGGTTTGATTCTCAATGAATGTAGACCTTTCCATGTAATTGTCTGGTAACAGTATGGGATATGGAATAATATGGAACAATGTCTTATATATCAGCAAAAAAATCCAGAACACAAAATATAAGCTGGCTGGATACGACCTCGTAGATGACCCCCACTCTGTCAAAGACCTTGGACTACTCATCTCTAATGATCTAAGTGCCAGAGCCCATTGTAACAACATTGCCAAAAATGCACTAAGAGTTGTTAACCTAATCCTGCGTAGCTTCTTCTCTGGTAACACTGTACAACTAACCAGAGCATACAAACCATTTGCTAGACCAATCCTTGAATACAGCTCATCTGTCTGGAACCCGCACTGCATATCGGACATTAATACAATGGAGTGAGTCCAGAGATATTTCACGAGAAGATCCTTCACTCCACTGCTCGCAACAGAATACCTTATGCCATCAGAAATTTTGGGCTTACACAACTTAGAACTAAGCTGCCTTCAGTCTGACCTAAGCGTACTACATAAAATTATCTACTACAATGTTGACTACCTGTCAATGATTACTTCAGCTTCAACTACAACAATACACAAACACACAATAGATACAAAATTAAGGTAAATCGCTCCAAACTCGATTGCAGAAAATACAACTTCAGCAACAGAGTGGTCAGTCCTGGAATGTGTTACCTGACTCAGTGGTTTCTTTGCCTTAAACCCCACAACTTTAACCTTAGACTGTCTACTGTTGACCTCACCCCAATTCCTAAGAGGTCTGTAAGGGGCATGCATAAGTTCACTAATGTGCCTACCATCCCTGCCCTAACAACCCCATTTATTTGTACCCATTTCATGTATTCATAATCTTGTATGTACTTATATCTATTATCTTATACACACTTGACAAAATAAATAAGTGAGTGGCCCTTGGTTGTAAAGACGACCTTCTTTACAATATAATATTCTTTACAATAACATACAATACTGTTGTAAAGAAGACCTTTTTTAAAAGAATGTTGCCTTAGTTACTCCTATCTTCCTAAAGGGGATATTCAAGAAAATGTCTTGCAGGGTTTCACAAGCTACACAATTTACCAGTTGTTGGAGGAAGCTGGAGGGGGGGGGGGAAGCAGGATCCTTGTTGGCCATCTCAGAAAACAGAAGAGCTCCACTCACTCAACCCAAGCGAGGTAAGGAAAAGCTGCTGGTGCTGATTTGCAGCACCCTGTAAAAGGAAGCGGGAGTGGGCACACCTGCAGCAGCGGCTCTACCGTTCCTAGGGGACCTCACGGAAGCCATGGTGGGCGGGAGGGAGAGGGTTACCTTCGTTCCTTGGTAAAAGTCGTCTTTTGTCGGAATCCCCATGAAGGGGAATTCCATGTGCGTGTGCGTGTCGATTCCGCCGGGAAGCACCAACTTGTGCGTGGCATCCAACACCTGGATTCCATCGGAAGAAGGCTGAAGATTCGGCCCCACCGCCCGCACGATCCCGTCCTCGATGTACACATCGGCCACTTGCGAGAAGTCCGCGTTCACCACTTTCCCACCGCGGATCAAGAGTTTCTGCATGTTGGACGCTTCTGGGGGAGTTTCTGAGCTTTCGGTGGCCGCGCGCGGAACTCCTCGGAGCCGCGTTTTAAAGATTCCCTCTCCGCCCCACCCCCGGGGCCCCCTCCGAAGGGACTCGGATTCGCCCCTGCGTCCTTGCCAAAGGCCGCTTGGCGCTTTCTTGCGACACAGGTGAGGGTGGCTCTGGAGGAGCAAACGGACCCCGGATCATTATAACTACAAAGAACCCTCCCACCCCCATTCTATTAAACCCGCCAATAATTACTGTGGAATAAGAATACATAATTAGCATTACTGCCCAGTTTTTTTTTTTACTGAATCTGGTAGCTTAAGCCTTAAGGCATGGAGACATTTTCCCTCTCTCCTCAATGCGTATTTCCCCCCCCCCGCCCCCGTAGAATTAGTTTTTCTACTTTGTCCTGATTCTAACTCCATAATTGCTACCAGGCTTGCCAACTAGGGTTTGCAAAGGCCATTCATAAATTGTTTCAATTTCTATGCTCGATAACTATAGGGCACTGCACATCAGAACAACTAGACACACTGTCCCCCCCCCCCAATGCCATCACTCTGCTAAACAACTAATCCCCACAACCCTGTCATATTATCTACTAAGACTGTATTAATATATTATTCTTCTCATAACTATAACCTCGTTGCTAGTGTCTTTAAAATGTATAGTTTTATTTCCTAGTATAATTTAATTGCTTATTAGTAACTTATAACTTTCACTAAGTGTTGTATCTTATGATTCTTGATGAATGCATTCTATTTTTCTTTATGTACACTGAGAGCATATGCACCAAAGACAAATTCCTTGTGTGTCCAATCACATTTAGCCAATAAAGAATTCTATTCTATTCTATTTGTGATCCAGATTTTTGCAGCCCAGATAAAGTAGTCCTAAATTTGGGATTACCGCTGTTGAAGTCAAACATCTTAGGGGAAAGAGGAGAGTGTTCTAGTCTATGAAATATCTTTAATGTAGATTCAGGTTTGATTTCTGGTGAATTTTAGACCTTTCCATGTAATTGTCTGGGTAACAGAATGGAAGGAAGGGGTTCTTGGTGTTCTCTGAGCTTGATTTTCTTGCAGATTTTTCATTAGCCAAAAATCATCATTGCTACAAGGAAGTGAGATTTGCTCCCAGTTTATATTCCAATGGCTTGCCCTGTCAATGTTGGTGGGAATGGTCTTGGAGTTACTTTGATAAGACTGTTTACTGTTAGCTTGTTTGGCAGTTCCTTGATTGGGGTATTGTTTACTTCTTGATTGTTGGTCTGGTGTTCTTGATGTCAATGTACGCAAGAAAACAACCAAGCTCAGAGAGCACCAAGGATGCCTTATTTACACCCTGAGCTACAAATATTCTCCTTTATTAATATGGAAGTGATTTAGCACTGCTTATTCCTGAAATGGTTTTTCAGTTCTTTGAGCTTGTGTACTGCTCCACTGTTCCTTCTGTGCAGTATTTCTCAACTTTGGCAACTTTAAGATGAATGGACTTCAACTATCTAGCTAACATTCTGTGAGTGAAGTCCACATATCAAAGATGCCAAGAAACACTGTCCTGGAGGAACAATATTCCAAAACCAACTAACCTACTCCTAATTTCCCACCTGACACATGGTTAAACTATACTTGCATTACCATATGCTGAGTCAATGAACTTTATCTCTTTTTCTTTTTGGCTTGTTTACTTTTCTGATAAGAAGTTGAAATTTAATGTTTGGTCTGTAAACATTCAGCGGCCTTGTGTCTATGGAGATCCTCGGTCTTCCACGTCAGTTATCTCAAAGGTGCTTTTTCAAAAGATAACTGCACTAATTTTTCTTTGAGGAAGACCGATGTTCTACTTCTCATCCAAGAAACTTCATCAAGCTTGTCACAACTGATGAAGCGTCTTGGATGAGAAACTAAATATCATCTTCTTTCTCAAAGAAAAAACAGCCCAGTTGCCTTTTGAAAAAGGCACATATCAGATTCAGTGGCCTTGAACTCAAACACAATTTTCTCTTAGGTAATGACAGATTTGCAAAGCGCTAAAGGGCCCATTTGGAAAATGAATCGATATTCTTGAGAAGTACAGCAGTGGTGAGGAAGGAGGTCTATTCAGAAAATACCAAATTGACATAATGCTGCCTAAAATTGCCTGTAGACCTCTCCGCCTACAGTGAGGCTCTCTATTGCCTCCCTCAACTTAAATTACTTATACATTTGATCCATGTTTGTTCACCAAAACACCGCAGTTGCTACATGAATCCCATTGAATTTCTTTGTTCTAAGCCGGCTGGGAAGATTGCAAAAGGAAATCACATGACCCTCAAGATGTTGCAACCATTACAAATACATGCCAAGTGTCAAGCACCACAAGTTTTGATCAAGAGACTGTGACGGTCATAAGTGTGAGGACTGGTTGTAAGTCACTTTTTTCAATGACCCTGAAATTTCAAATGGTCGCTAAACAAATAGTTGTAAGTTTAGGACTACCTACATGGTTTCATTACAGAAATGGCCAACGATTTGAATCTGGTTTTCTCCAGATTCTGTAATCACAACTTAATATCTACTACCGTGTTTCCCCAAAAATAAGACAGGGTCTTATTTTCTTTTGATCCCCAAAATAAGCACCTGGCCTTATTTTCAGAGAAGTCTTATTGTTTTTGAGGTGCCGGAAGTGGTGAGCGTGGTCACCTCATGGTTGCTGCTATGTTGCAATATTTTTGGGGAGGGCTTATTTTAGTGCATGCGCTCAAAAGCCCAATTGGGCTTATTTTTCAGGGAGGTCTTATTTTCAAGGGAAAGAGGGTAAATCAGAGGTCTCCAATCTTGTCAACTTTAAGCCTGGTGGACTTCAACTCCTAGAATTCTGGGAATTGAAGTCCACCAGGCTCAAATTTGCCAAGGTTGGAGACCCCTGTACTAAATCATACCAACTTTTGCTGTATCAACTCAGGATGGTCTATTATTTACCAGATAAAAATAGAAAAATCTCTATTTTTTGTTATGGTAGGAAGGCCTATCTTTTCATATGTTTTTGGAAGGGTGGCTTTTCTTTGCCAACTGTAAACAAATTAAATACAACAGAAGGCATATAAATTGAATACATAAATAAATAATAAATGTTGTTTTTGCTGCAACAAATAGGGTTGGAATCACTTCAAAATTATTTTGTTGACAGTACATTTCACAAATGTTCAGCTTCTTACAGCCCTGCTTAATACAGCAATTCCTGTAATATTATTTAATATATAATCTGTAATAATGCAATAAAAATATGATAACCCATAATACTTCTGTCTCTCTCTCCCTGGACTATAATTGCCATCAAAGCATTTATGATAAGTTACCTCCATCTCTGAAAGTAGATCTTTCCCCTCTTTCTTCACATTGCTGGGCTATTAAGGTCATCCAAAAGATTGCAGCTTGTTTCACAAACGTTATCTTTGACTGAAAAGTACTTTGCTCTTTCTGAAAAATTTGTCAATTGCTTTGCAGGAAAATTTATTTTAATTTTTTCCTGTTTCTTCAGTAGACATAAATGATCTGCTTTTGACAAATCATGTTTCCCTTTTAATAACTATACATTATGCATATAAAAATAGGGTGTTCATGCTACTCTATGTCAGCATATTAATAATTTATTTCTTGCCTCTGTTTATAAATAACTAAAGGAGGTGAATATATTTACCATATTTTTCAGAGTATAAGACGCACCTTTTTCCCTCAAAAAAGAGGCTGAAAATCTGGGTGTGTCTTATACCCTGAATACAGCATTTTTGCCTCCCGAAACCTCGCTCCCTTCACCAAAATGGCTGTGCATAGCCCCTAGGAAGCCTTTAGAGAGCCTGTTTTTTGTTCAATTCCCTCCCCCCTGCCAGTTCCCAGGAGCACTCTCTAAGCTTCCTAAAGGCTATCCATGCCCTTTTTAAATGAAAAAAGGGCCATTTTTTGCTTGTTTTTGCCCCCACCTCCAGGAGCATTCTGCAAGCTCCCTAAAGGCTATTAATGCCTTTTGGGGGGAAAAATCAGGACTGTTTTCATGAAAAACGGGCTGTTTTTGGGAGGTTTGCAGAGTGCAAAAACTTTTTTTTATTTTCCTCTTCAAAACCTTGCTGCGTCTTATAACCTGGTACGTCTTATACTCCAAAAATATGGTAATACACTTTTCTCCTCCTATTTTCTCTACAGCAACCATCCTGTGGGATGGGCTGAGTTGAGAGTATGACTGGCCCAAGGTCGCCCAACTAGCTTTCATGTTGAAGGTGGGACTAGAATTTACGACTTCTTGCATGGTGTCTTAACCATTAGACCCAACTGGATCGCTTGTGGACTCTTATGGAGAAGTTTGCACTTAAGCTTATGAATAGTGATTCTAACACTCTGAACATAGCATGGTAGAAGTGAGTGAAGGGTCCATCCATAGAGATGTTCTCTCCTAAAGCGACCCTCTGCTATAAGGCTATAAAAGAGTCAGCACACAATTTCATTCACATGTGCTGCATGATCAAGACAAGATCTGGCTCTTACCTAATTAGTTCTTCAAGTGGTCATCTCATGCTTACAGGTGATACATTTATACAAAGGCCCATCTGAGACCTTACAGAACTATGTGGCAGGAGCCCTCTCCTCCAAGTATACCATAAAATTATAGTCAGCTTCTGCTAAATGCTCAGTTTTAAGATAAACACAGCAGATTTGAAGAAGATATAAGACAAAGTGGGTTAGAATTATAGGTCATGTGAATGCACAGGTAAACCATTCAAAGGCCCAGGAAATACAGTTCATTATCTCATTTCTTTGTTTAAGTGTAGAATTGTCTATAGAAGTTGGAGCTTGTTAAAGGAGACACTCTAATCCTGCTTTGGAAATGTTTTAATCACCTCTGTGAATAACACACACTGATGAATAGTAAAATATAGTCCTAGCAAAATGATACCATAAAATAAAAGGCAGGAATTTAATAAGACATCCAGAGAACAAAGCAATGTTTCCATTGGTGTGAAGGAGTTGGTAAAATACAGGAAATGGATCATA